GCAACTGAAATAGGTCTCTATTTCTCTTATCACTTAAATGTGTAGGTACAGTACCTGTACCATGTGTATTTTTAAATCTATTTTATTTAGTTAAATTTAGTAAAATAATGTTTATTCAGTTACTCAGTGTGCTGACATTTTGCTCCAACTGTGGAAAACAGAAATAATCATTCATTCAGATAAGCAGGAGCATCCAGGGCTGGGTCGGGGAGGGCATCCAGCATCAAAGCAGAGCCATATCAAATATGGGATCCATCTGCTGTGGTTACCCAATGTGAAAGACGGCGCAGGATAATACTGTTATCAAGTGCAAAACAGCGTTTAAGTTGCATATTTTGGTTTCAACAACTTAAAAAACGAAATAAAACTGAGAAGGTCGCTTTTACCCCAAAGGTAATTACAGTAAGTATCACTACAGTGTCCCAGAGAAGTATACTAAAACACTTAAATACTCAAAGAAGCACCTGAAGACGGTACAATATTCGAGTAGCTGTATTTTCGCGTTAAGGTTATAAAGATGTGGACACTATTAGTATGTAAAAAGAAGCGTTTCCTGGACTGGACAGGTTTAAAATACAAAACGTTTACACCAGTTTATGCCGGTAAACGTGTAATTACCGACACCCTTGATTAACCACATCTACTTACAGTAAGTAATCAGGAAACAGAGGGAGAAAAAACGTGTTGGTCAAGGAAGGAGGAAACAATTCCTGTAGCCTTCCTCCCCCGAGCAAATCCACCTCAATTTGTATGAACTTAAAAAGCATCAACACACAAATGTGTTAGGTTGTGCTTTCAAATATTTTCATCTAAAAGCACAAAACACGTTTCTCTACATGTAAATGGTTTGGATCCAGTGGTAATGACCAATATTTATCAGCATCGCATTTTTCCCTCGATTTTTCTCCCTATGTATTTCTTCTAATGTCACTTTAACACGTTCAACTTACCCAGTGTGCGCAGAGCGGTGGACTCAGAGAAGCAGATCAAAGTGAGGACAAGTTCACCTCGACCTGGCTCATCAGTCAGTCCATTACTGAGTACACACCAGGAAGCGGCGTCCTCTTACATTTGGATGACAAGAGTGTGTCGTAACCAACGCAAACACAAGAAAATGCTGCCTTCACGTGACCCTCGTAAGCTCGTATTTTCGCCTTTCTCCCTCGTTAAGGTTTTTCTGTGGTGGTCCAACAAATCTTTTGATTCAGTGCGTCAAAGCAGTGCTTAGAGAATTTATTGAAACAGTAAGGCTGTAATGCCATGTAGTTCACTTTGATGACTGGAATATAATCAAACAGTGGCATGGCCAAACGTTGTATTGTCCTATTAACACCATCACTGGTGGCAGAGTGTGCCATAAAAAATTGGAGGAAACTGGAAAAGTGAAAAGACAGCCTTTTAGTCGATCCATCTTCTGTTCGCTGATGCCTCATCAGAAATGGTTTCAGTGGCTGTCAAGAAGCCATTGGTAGAAAACAGGGAGAAAATGCTCAGTATGCCAAATTACACAAGAACTGGGCTGAAAATCAGTGACAGAAGTCCTTATAGAGGGATGAATCCAGATGTGAAATGTTTAGTTCAAATTGTCAATATGTATAGAAGAGGTTATGGTGGAGGTGCTGTCATGGTTTGGGGTTTCATTTCAGCCAGTGGTGTTGGGGATCTTATTAAAAAGGTTTTGATCAAACATGGAAAACCATGTAGGAAAGCATCTGATTGGCAATAAGAAAA